AAAAGAATAGAGAGATAAGAAGTGATTGAGTAATAGAGTAATGGATTGTGGAAGAGAAGAGGTAAAACTAATCCAATTATCTACGGGCGTAATGAGCAATGAAACTGAACGAAAATGGTAGCAGGACCACCACAGTGCAAGTCTTAAACAAATACTGCATTAAAAGTTGTACCCGAAGCACCGCCAGAACAGATCAAACAATATTATTTTTATTCTAGTCTAGTCACTTTAGCTTTTCCAACTGACCTCTGACCTAGAATGCCTCACAGCTCACCTTTGGCGGCCATGTCGAGGTCAGCAGGGTCGTAGGTCAACTACGCCAGCCCCTCCGGATCTGTAGCCCTCAGGCGTACGGCTCGCGTAGACCCGTACGGAACACCAGAGCGCACAAGTAATTCACGACGTAGCACAGACCGGAATGCATTCATCCAACGATTCGCCTGCCTAACGCTACCCAGAACTGACGTCCTCGTGTCGTCGTGTGCCGTTCTCATATGCCATCTGCCACTCAAACACTGGGCGTGACGTTGGCACGCTGTCGCCACTGAGACGGGGCCCTCGCGAGCCGCCTGCCACCCATGCACTGGAACAGTGGTCTGAGACGAGCCCACTCGATGGTCGAAGGAATAAAGCCATGCCAAATTCTCAGCGAACGCCGAGCCCGGCCAACACAAGCACTTATCAGAGGTCATCATTGGTCGGGGCCCGCTGGTGTCGGCGGCTCCGGTGATGACAGCGGTGCGGGCCGGCATCCATCTCCGCCGGGCGCTCGGCCAGACCCGAGCGACCTGCCCTGGGCGCCATATCATGTGCTGAATGGGCCGTTCCGCTGATGACAGAGCTGGAGCAGGCGCATGTGATAACGCTAGAATTGTCACACAAGCTTGTTACCACTCGGCATAGATCGTCTCATTTTTCCTGCATGGTGATCACGTTTTGCAGACTTGATTGAAAAGATTCCTAGGATACTCCGATGTTCTTCATATGGATCATTTCCGTCAGACATTGTATAGTTAAAGTTGTCGCCACAAGGTTCGCTGACGCGTGAGAGACCGGCGCGTCACGTTACTTCGTCGCACGGACCCGGACAACTCCAAGTCGTCAGCACCCTGTCAGAGTGTCGCACCACTCCCAGACCACCGGACCAAGCGTTGAACACCCTTTCCAACCGGTCGTTAACGGTCCGGGTGGTCTACGTTCGCGGACCACCCGGACTGCTGAGGACTGCTGAGGACTGCTGAGGACTGCCACTCTCTGCAGGGCCGACAGGTCGGGTTCACCGCACGCGACCTACAGCCCTGAACGGCCGACGACGGCGCGTCCCCAGGTCGGTGAGACGCTGAGGAGCCGACACCTAAGCGCGACGCAGTAACGACCCCGGTCAGGCCCAACCACGAAAAACCGGCTCGCCACAAGGGTTTGCACTCGGCAGGTGAATGGCGCGGCTCCAATCTGCTTCGTCTCGGCGCGCCGCGAAGCTGATCGGTAATGGCGGCGCGGCCGCGACAGCTGGCGCGCCGTCGGCAGCTCGGCGCCCGGGCCGGCACGTCACCTGCTGCCGTTCATCAGTCGGGGCAGCCGCCGAGCCGCCAGCGCCCGACGGTGTGGCTAAGAGCGCAGGCCCGCCAGCATGTCGAGCGTCGCCTCCACCCTCCACGCTCCGCACTTTTAGAATAGGACAGCGCTCCTTCAACGGCCGCCTGAAGAAAATGTAAGAGAACAGGCAGGGAGAGGTGGGAGAGAGAGAGAGAGAGAGAGAGAGAGAGAGAGAGAGAGAGAGAGAGAGAGAGAGAGAGAGAGAGAGAGAGAGAGAGAGAGAGGGAGAGAGAGAGAGAGACAAGAGAGACAGAGAGAGGGAGAGAAAGGGAGAGAGAGGGAGAGAGGGAGAGAGAGAGGGAGAGGGAGAGAAAGAGAGACCAGCCTTTCATCTAAATTTAATTTAATCGAGACGCACCCATCGAACGGCGTGATTATGTAAAATACAAATCACCCTGATGTCCGGCTGATGCCCCCCCCCCCCCCCCCTCTTCGCCACTGACGACGTTCCGGCTGTTATCTCCTCCACCGCCACTGCCGACGGTTCGTCTGATCGGCGGCGTTTGACACGCGACGGCCCGACCGACAGGCCTGCGGGTCGCCTGGTGTCGATGTTAGCCCGCTACGGAGTCGACGCGGGGGGGGGGGGGCGGGGAGGGTCGCAATCGACGCCGAGCGTGACACCGGGCCGAGTGGCTCCCCGCCGAGCCGGCCGGAGGGGCGGCACGCTCCAGTCGACACGGCCACCAGCCGGGAGGCGCCGGGCGCCGATCAGATTCGCTCTGGCGTCTGCCGTGGGGCGCGGCTTGCGCTATGCCTGCCCGGCCCTTCTCGGGCCATCCCTCTTAGCGGGAGACTCTTGAAAAAACATGACGTCTTCTGCATATAACGAGGTCGGGAACAAAACTTAAGTGAAATTGATGTGCCACAACTACGCTTACAGGTATATATATATATATATATATATATATATATATATATATATATATATATATATATATATATGTGCGTGTGTGTGTGTGTGTGTGTGTGTGTGTGTGTGTGTGTGTGTGTGTGTGTGTGTGTGTGTGTGTGTGCGTATGCGTGTGTGTTGCTCTGCCGTTCTGCCGTTCTTCAGTACATGTACTGCGCCTGTTCAACAAGGTAAAACTTTGATGACACAAGCTCATTTTCAACGAAATGGGCTTTGTGCATTGACATGTTTCAACCCCGAGATTAGGTCTGTGTTTCAACGGCCCTTCCGGCTTCAGTATCGATCACGTTATTTATGACGTGAATCAGCGGCAACGTGTCTCCTTTCCAGTCGGTGATGAGCACAAAGGTGCTGAAGGGCTTAAGGTAAGTGTTTTACCAGGATTGGACCTAAGGTCAGATGTGCAAACTCGTGGGCCGGGTAAAACAGCGTCCTAGAGACCTTTTGTACACAGAATCCGCCATCACGCCAAGAAAATAGCGACAGACGGCGAAGCTGAGTCTTGAATCCTCTCACTGTTCATTGGTGGCAGCGGCCTCAATAACATCGCGTTGACCGCTGCGATATTTGGCCCCAATCAATCGATATCGTTTACCTGCGACCAGTCATCATAGGACAGTCCCGAACTGATTGAATGGTCGTTTAATTTAGTTTAATTTTTTCCCGCGCCTATGTCTGTGGCGAAGCTCAAGGCCCAGTTAAGCGTATGAACGGCAGGTGCGGATTGACCGGGCGCGAACGCTCCAGTCGTCCCCGGCCAGCCGCACGGTCAGCCTCAAAGGACGGCCCGAGATCATTGCACCAGAGGAGACATCGAGTTACGCTAAATGACAGTCATTGGGAACTCCCTAGAAAGATGTTACAACACCATTCAGTCTTAATTGTGTATGCCAGTCGACGCCACGAGTGTGGGCGGGGCCGCCGCTTGGAAGGGTAGGACAGAATATGAACTAGCACAGGGAAGGATGGTGCGCTCTGGGCCGCGTTCGACATCTCGACTTCCTGAACGCTATCGATCGGTGTGCATTCTTTATATATTGCATATATGGTCTGCATTCTGCATCACGACCACGTATTTGGTCTGCTTTCTGCGGCTGTTCAGACCAAACTCACGAGCCCTGCGCAAACATGGAAGGCTCGGGTCTTCCGTCTGAACTGCAGCGAGATGGGTCATTTCGCCATCGTTCCTTCAGACTCCCTGATGAAAAGGGACTCGCCTGCCGTGTTTTCTCTCGAACTTCACTCAGCCAGCTTCAGCTCTCCATTATCACTCTCCTTGGGCTTTGAGCCACTCTAGATAACTCGCCTGGTTGACTTGCTCTCCGAGCACTGTGCAGTCGCCGCCTCCTCGTCGGCAGAATGCCCAGTGCAAAGCGGCACCGATAGAGCTGCTTCACATCATTACACCATTCTCAGAATATGCAAGCTTGTTGAAAACCTCGTTACCCTGATTTACAGCTCCACTAGTTTCTGAAATATTTTGGCGGCCGCTTTTCTGCGGCGGCCTTTTGAGAGCCGGATACAATTTCTACACGTCACTGACTCTTGTTCCAGGTCATAAACGCTTTGCGAGGCACGTAACCGGCTCATTACCTCACCCCCGTCTTTTGGCCTGGCCGTATGGAACTACCGACTGCGAGTCACAGTGCAGGTTCTTCAGAGTCTCAAGTCGCATCGGAAAAGAGCGATGGGCGCCGACAAAAGTGTGCAGGAGCGGATCTGACACCCACCAAACCGCGATTATTTCCATCATTTTTATCTTATTCTCAAGCAGTATTCGAACATTACGCTCCTTAAAGTTGCTCTTGGCCGATGATGCCATCAAAACTGGATACTAATGGTCCGATGATACCGTATTAACACATCGTGCAATGACATCTACGGTGCTAGTATTCGCATTGAGAATGCCGGTTCAGCGTTAAGCATTTCGCTCATTCATTTCGTATCCTAAAATGTCAGTCGGGCAAATGACAAAACACTTTTTATTTGCTTCTCATTAACACTGCCAACAAATATCTATGACTCACGCGTATTTCATAGAAACGTAAAACGTCTCCTGTTCGTAGGAATCTTTCCCACGAAACGCCTCGCAATGCGTCACTGTCCAAAGCGGCAAGCGCTGCCTTGTTTACAAAAGCAGGAAAGCTACGTCGCGTACGGTGCACATGTCGAGTGAGTTTGCACGAGGGCCGATAAGTACAAAGCGCACAGGCGATCGCCAGCAGTCGGTCGGGTAGCACCGCGCAGTTTTCTCCTGACAACACACCACGCAGTGCACAACACAGGTTCCGGTTGGTGCGGTCCAGACCTCGGTCGCAGCGCTCAGCCCAGGCGAGAGCGCAAACGGCGCCGGACAGAGCCTAGAAACTGGCGTCGACTTTGACCAGACCCAGCGTGGATTTCATTCTGACGATAGGCGATCATGGCTTCCCAGCAGCGGTGTGGCAGGCACGTGGCGGCGTTTCCCTGCCAGCCCTTCCAGGAGCGCCCTCGTCGGGCGCCGCCGGGGCTCTGTTTCTGACGTCCCCAAGTCGCGGACAGGCTGCAAGCCAACGCTGCGGCCGGCTGGTCTAGCACACGCACGCACTCCACACGAGACCGATGATAGCTCATCGCTGACGCTCCGAACACTGTCACCTGAGCCCACGCTGGACTGCACCGCCGGGAGGCAGAGCTGGACTGCACCGCCGGCGACGCAGAGCTGGACTGCACCGCCGGGGAGGCAGAGCTGGACTGCATCGCTGGGAAGGCCGGCTGGACTGCACCGCCGGAGAGGCCGAGCTGAACTGTACCGCCGGGGAAGCAGAGCCGGACTGCACCTCAGGAAAGGCGGAGAGGCAGAGTTGGACTGCACCGCCGGAGAGGCATAGTTGGACTGCACCGCTGGAAAGGCGGAGCTGGACTACACCGTTGCAGAGGCAGAACTCGGCTCGTCGAGCCGTCCTTGAACGCACACCTCCGGCGACTACGCCAGCGACCAAGCCGGCGTTGAGCCGCCTGTCCAGCCGCCCACATCACAACTTGTTGGCGCCGTAGAAGCTGCTGTCGTTGGGCGACATGCCGGCGATGTAGTGGCCCGAGCCGAGCTCACCGCTTGAGGTCGTGAACGGGCGCGGGTAGGGCACCGGCAGCGGCTCCTCGAAGCCACTCAGCTTGTTGAAGTTGTACGGTGGCGGCAGGCCGGCCGACTGCTCGATGAACAGCTGGCGCTCGTTGTCGGTCGTCGTCGACACCGAGCTGTTGCCCACCGAGTCCGTAAACGACACTGGCGGCAGACAAGAGCGAGCTTAAGTTGGAGCCAGGGAACAGATGCCAACAGACTCATGCAGGCATTCGCATACCCATACAGAGGAGAGGCATTGCACCAGTTGTAATTCGCTTCTAACCGGAAGTAGCCATTTATCTAACGTCACTGTCCATATCTTATCGTGATGCGACCCGTAACCGTTCGCCTGACGAAGCTCAGGGGTCCCGCGTAGCGATTAATACCACACCGTTTGAAAAAGGCATCGCCTAACCAACAGCTGATCAAGGCCTGTACAGAACTTTCACTGGTTCTCCACTCTCTGGCGCACTTCGCCTGATCAGCCTCCGAGTCGTTCAGCCTAACTCGCTGCACTCGCGCCGTGGCTTCGCCTTTCGAACACGGAGTTGCACTTCCTAGGAACGCCGAGGAAGGGTTTGACGAAGGCCACCATTAAGATCGAAAAGCAAACCGATAATAGTTGTATGATGGAGGGAGATGATTGATTGTATATTGGTCCTTATATTCGCTTGGTATTTTAACAGTCAGTTACTGCTATGATCAGCTTGCGCTTACTATTTACGTGGAAGAATAAACTGGACGGGGCCAGGTCAGCAAATATTCACCGTCCTCCACGCAATAACAAGCCGGACCGGTATCGGTATGGTTTGATCTGACAAACTACTTCGATTTTCAACTTACCAGCTAATTTTGTAAGCTGTGACGCAACTTTTCTGAACCTTTGTGGTATGGTTCTTTTAATGCCTTTTTAATACTACATCCGCATACCTATTTCCGTGATGGTGTTAGGTTGCCCCTGGTTCAAGTTTGACGTACACAACAGAGATCAAACATGCATCGAAAACCAAGCACACTGCTGCGTGGAATGTGAGCTAGGCCACGCCAAGCCACCACCGATTGCTGACCTCTGTTGGTGCGGTACGAGGTGAAGGTTCTGGGCAGGCTGCCGACGCCGTTCAAGTTGCTGGACCGGCTCTGCCTGGTGACGGCAACCTCGTCCACGTCCTGCAGCATGTCCTCCAGCTCCTGGCGACCGGACCTGCCGTCCCGCCGACCCAGCGACGCCGACGAGTAGCTATACATGTTGGTGACGCCGTTGGCTGCTGTCGGCGAGTGGAGGCTGTCTGTGGATGACCGCAGCGGGGGGGGGGGGGGAGATCAACGGTCACGGAAATCCGTGGTTTGAATCTGCCGCTGCACGGGCCCTGGATTTCAGCTTTTATCCTCTGTAAAAACGGCGATCAGAGAAAACGCCGAGAGCAGGATGAAACTCAGCTATCAGGACTTGCACTGTCATGGCCGTAAAGGAGGCCGACCGACACGTTGTGTGGCGTAAGTTGTGGCCTGCGGTATGCACTCATGGTAAAAATGCACACCTGCAGTTTTCGGATATTATTTTGCATGTGACGAACACATGTACGTGACTAGAACTCCTCCAGTCGGGTCCATAGCCTCATCAGTGCCATCAAAGTCATCAATCAGAAGGCCAGCGGGATGACCAGCCAATGAGATGTCTGCTATCATTTTCGACTAATCTTACCTCGCTTACCGCCGCCGCGTTTCTTGTAGCAGAGGCAGCCCTTGCAGAGACAGCAAGAGATGATGGTGACGAGGGCGATGGTGACGACCGCGCCCACCGCCACACCCAGCACCAGCGGCAAGCTGAGGCCGCGAGCGAATGTTGTGGGGCCGGCTCGCCGGCGGCGACGCCAGAAAAACGACACAACTCGGCCGGCGGACCGCATCGCGGCCGACAGGCGCGAACTTCTTGTCGTCAGAAGTTGTGATAAGATAAACACCAAACGTGTGACTGTATTGTCAACCAGTTGCTGGCTGAGGAAACGCGGCTTCCGAGGCCCGCGAGCGGTGGTTGAGTTATTTGGCGGGAAGCGGCCACAACGTTTTTCTTTAAGTCGTCGATGCGTCACTTAGAGGTGACATCGCTGGCCGTCCGCTTGCGTTTGTCAGTTCGAAGGGATTTTAACATCTTGGACCCATCTGTATATGCATATAAAGAGAGAGAGAGAGAGAGAGATATATATATATATATATATATATATATATATATATATATATATATATATATATATATATATATATATATGTGCATGCATCTTTTATCCGATGCTATAAAAGATGCATGCAAACGAGAGTTGGGAAGCATGAGAAGACACATTTCTTTATTGCACTAACTCACTTGTCCCCGATGACGGTGTTGGCGTCTCCGCCAGGGTCCGTGTGTTCTCTGGTGGTGCAGCAGTAGCGGTAGGTGGAGGTGCCGCAGCAGAACACGGGCTCCTCCTCCAGCTTCGGACAGGCAAACCCGTTGTTCCACTTGCCGAAGCTGTCCACGTAGCCGGAGCAATAGGCGTCCCGGCTCAACACTGGAAACGGCAGAAGCAACTATTACTCCAGTTCTATGCACGAGATGATATTTTTATCTACGGTTCAAGAATACGTGGCAACTTCTATCTTCGAAGGGCCATTTTATTGTGGGAATCCAGGGTGCATTCATTCCGAATAACAGAAACCCTGTCGGATGAGTTTCAAATTGGCCTTCGATGCTGTTACGGTATCGGCAGTTCTGGCTTCACGTCGGCAGCTGATGTCACATGTCTCCTGCAGCTGGTTACAAGCGAGATTGCACTGGGTCAGCTGGCATGTCTGATTACTAGAGAGATGGTCTCACGCTGGATCAGTGTGCAGGTTTGGGCAGTATGACACCATAATGTACTTGCGCGACATAGGCGATAGCTGGAGCGTTATTTGAGACGCCTGAACTGCGATGCGACATCGACACGTGATCAGATCAGATCAGTGCGATCAGAACTATTTGGCGAGAAGCCGAGATATAGACACGAATACGTGCTTAGCCTCAAGTGCGTAGTAGAACGCATGGTGCCCTGTGCGTGTCGTCCAAGGACGTGAGCGAGCCTTATGCGCAGCCATGGCTCGAGCGGGGCAACTATTGCCACCGAAATGGCCTATTTGAATCTAACGGGCACGCATGCTGGTGGTGAAGAGACGGTATATAAAAGTCTCCACCGTGAAATTGGTCAATGCGTGCCAAGTGGAGTGCTGCATTTTTCCTGTGGCTTGTCATGCATCGATATAGTATGGCTTTGCAGATGCGGTGTAGAAGACGGTCACAAGCGTTGACGATGAGAGCTCACAAAGTCCCTATTAGTTGTAAATTTGGTTAGCTGATTATCTGTCACTCGGCCGTTTATGAGTCTATCTCGATGAACACAGTTTAAGAGAAATGCCTCACAACTGAAGATATTGAAGCCAGCATCAGATAGGACGAAACAAGCTCACTTGTAACAATTTGTATGTTTTTTAGGTGGAAAAGGCTGCTCTAGATAGCACAACTCTCTTTTTAGTAAATATGCTCCTCAGTACGCCATGGTTTGATAACGTCATCGCATCTTGCAGAACATTGATTGAGAGCCGATTGACAGCCGCTATATCTGGAAATTGCGCTCACAAACGCCAGATATGAACGCCTAGGATTTAATGCTATAGATTTGAATCATGGAATGCTAGGATTTAAATGACTTTATTATCACGTCATGAGGGCCATGCTGACTTTGAAATGCTCTTCCTGATATACCTTTCCCATTTTTTGCGGGCGTGTTGTCAGAAAATAGAGTGGCTTAGATCTTAAGAAGGGCAGGATTGTGAACAGCACCGAAAGGTCTTCAAGCTAGCTATTCTGGTTCCAAATCCCATATAAATGCGGAACACTCCCTTTAATAATGCTAATCTCTGAGATGCTATGCCCGCGACGTTCCGTTAGTCGTGCACGATCACACCGAAGGTAAAATTTCATGACGGCGTTGAGCACGTATGATACACCGATATGCGAAAAGCACTGTCCTATAAGCCAGCAAGAGGCGCGGCGGAGATTCAGCACATCACACCAGCGGCATGTCTGGAGGGCGGCAATGACCAATGGCCAGCTTGACTGCAATCCGTAAAAAGAATGACACCAGCACAAGCGCGAGTCAGCATACTGCTCGGCAGTCCCAGTGACCGTGGCCGTGACCGTGGCCGTGACCGTGGCCGTGACCGTGGCCGTGACCGTGGCCGTGGCCGTGACCGTGCTCGTGCCCGTGCTCGCGCCCGCACTCGTGCCCGTGACAGTGCCCGTGCTCGTGCTCGTGCCCCTGCTCATAACCGTGAACGTGGCCGCGACCGTGACCGCGATTCAGACAAGCTCCGTAACAGTGCGGGAGCGGCCAATTTGATATCAGTGCAGTGATCGTGTCAGAACGGCCGGCTGGCCGGGTCAGCACGGAACAGGAACGGGTCACAACCTCCGAACGCAGGCGACGTCTGCAGCGACCATCTCGGCAATCTCGTCAGATGTGCCTCGTCACGCCGTCTGAAACGCACTGCCGTCGGTCTGCAAATTTCACGCCGGCAACTCATTTGTGGCGCGAATCTCATGGTCGGCGTCTGCGCCCGCTCGAAACGGCTCGGCGCGGACTGGGGAGGAGCGGGAGGGGAGGGGTCGCGGCGCTCGGGTGGCGTTTTTCTCCGAGACGCCAGACTCGTCACTGGGCCCAGCGCCGTCACACCACGCCCCCAGAGCCCAGCCGTGGCTCGCTGATGAAATGAGACTGGGAATAATTACCGCAGCGGAGCGATTCCGGCTCTGGAAGACACATCCCTGCTCATCTGCTGCCGACGGGGACCGTTTTGAGGACGCCAGAGTGTTTTCTCGCGTCCCGCATCGACCAGCAATCAACGGCGCTGAATGGTGATGTGTGCAACTTGGGCAGTTTATTGACAAAGACAGCCACCAGAACTCTCTCCCCAGAGACAGAACGACCGATTTCTAAGGTGACGTTTTTCTGGCTCCTGTGGCATAGATATCAGATCGCGTGACTATTATTATTCATATCTGAAACCTCTGGTTCACCAATCTTCAGAAAACTCGCTTCCCTCCAAGACCTTGCTACGGTCGTGACGTTTTTGAAAACTGGGTATTCCCCGTGTTAGAATCAGTGTAAACCCGTTGTGTTGGATACAATTTGATTTCTTGTTGCTTCCACTGCTCCGCTTCATCTGTCTCTGACCTACTTCTGCTGCTTCTACTGTTTCTACTTCTGACTGAGTAACTAATAATCATCTCCAAACGCATACACTTATCAATATATATATATATATATATATATATATATATATATATATATATATATATATATATATATGTGGGTGTGGGTGTGGGTGTGGGTGTGGTGTGGGTGTGGGTGTGTGGGTGTGTGGGTGTGGGTGTGGGTGTGGGTGTGGGTGTGGATGTGGGTGTGGGTGTGGGCGTGTGTGGGTGTGGGTGTGGGTGTGGGTGTGGGTGTGGGTGTGGGTGGGTGGGTGTGGGTGGTGGGGTGTGGGTGTGGGTGTGGGTGTGGGTGTGGGCGTGGGTGTGGGTGTGGGTGGGTGTGGGTGGGTGTGTGGGTGTGTGTATGGCTTGATCGAGCAGTAAGCCATATCTAGAAAAACACCTCATACCTACATCCCAGCGGCGTGGGTACAATCCCCGACACGCTGCCCTTCCACCGCACCTCAGCGGCCACCCAAACTCGGGGCCTCCACAGCATCTGATAGATAACTCACACTCGCGCCCCCTCGGAGCAACACACGCCAGTCCCAGGTGGGGATCGTTTACGGAGAGCGGCTGCAGCCGACCCGCGATGGAACACGTCGGCCCCGCAGGTGACATCTGGAGATAAATGGCAGCAAGCGGCGGACCGGCTGCGCCCCGGAGCAGCGGCGTCGCCCGCCAGACGCCAGAAGACCCAGCGCAGTGAGAGCGTCTCGAGTCGCCGCCGGCGCTCCGGGTGCTCTTCTGGTGGAGTCTGCCCGGTGAGCGGACCTCACGCCTTGGTAACCCTGGCTATCGCCCCTGCCGATGACGTTCTCCGGGAGGTGACACAGAGTTTCGCGTTCTTTATCGCTTAATAGCGAGCATATTGCACCCGCCCGCCGCCCGAGCCAGGAGCCGGTTGCGTCATCCGTGAGTGACGCTATGAGCTGTACGGAGGCGGCTGAGTGGCGGGCGGCGGGTCGACCGGACGTGCCGCGGGGCTCAGGTGCGCCCCGCCTCGGTCCGCCTGCCAGTCATCTGTGGGCGGGATCAGTGGCACCGGCCAGACCCGGCCTTGTTGCGCGCTACTCTCCGGCGCGCCACCACATCTGGTCTCGCCACCTGCCAGCACTCTTTACTGGGTCCGATACCCTAGCCCACCCCGTGGCAAGGCCTGTCAGCTCGAGCAACGCTACTCGCAACCGAGCCCTGCCAGCGACACCCGACATCGCGCGCACTCTCCACCAGCTGCTCCACTCCGCCGCTCGGGGCCTTTTCTCTGCCCTCTCCGTGGCTTGGGGCCTCTCATCGCCGCTATCGTTTTCACCTGGCACCATCTCCAACTCCTGACGCTTATGTGACTCCGCCTGCCGCCCCTGCGACCGCTGCTACCGACCCGGCGCCGGCCCCGGCAGCCGGAGGCTCGCCGGGTCGTCGGCACGTGTTGACGCCGCGCTCGGGTGGCGCGTCGGCCCGCGACGTGCCGGAACCAGGAGGTGACGAGCGGCGGCCAGCGGCGCCGCCCGCCCCTCCAGATACGACAGCCGCACACCAATTAAGATTCCTTCGCGCGAACGCCCGTCCGTGCGCAAATTGGTCGCAGATAAAATGCCAGGCATCTCTAATTTGACGGATAGCGCGGCGGCTAGAAGCGGCGGTAGAACAGCTGCTGCGGCGCGCTGGGGTCAGTCGCCGCTGGGGACAGCTGCAGCGGGACAGCTGAGCGGGATAGCTTTAGATGTGCGCTAGGGACAGCTGCAGCGGGATGGCTTCAGGTGTGCGCTGGGGACAGCTGCAGCGGGATGGCTTCAGATGTGCGTTTGGGGTCAGCTGCGGCGGGACAGCTGCAGCAGGATGGCTTCAGATATGCGCTGGGGACAGCCGCCGCCGGGGCAGCTGCAGCGGGGCAGCTACAGCGGGATGGTTTCAGCCGTGCGATGGGGTCAGCCGCTGGCGACGCTCCGTGCTCAGCAACAATATTGACGGCGGTGAGAGATGCATGTCTTCATGCATATTATACTATTTGCATTTGGATGAAGGCGTAATGGTGCACCTTGTGCGTTACAGTAAAGCTTCCACGACTAACAACATAAGTAACTAAAGAATATCTCAAAAGTTTATAGTTTCGTCTGAGTCACCTTTGATTCTATGAAGCTTACATCGCAGCCATAGATGACGTATTGGAGAAATCCAATATATTCGTTTACCCTAAATGACGTTTTAATCAATTTGGTCATCAAAAGTGTTTTCGGCGCGCATAAACGCAGAAAGTCTAGACGCTCCAAACAATTACCA